GTTTGCTCCACCCAGAGTAGGAACTGATGGTTTCCTCCACCCAGAGTAGGAACTGATGGTTTCCTCCACCCTGAGTAGGAACCGATGGTTTGCTCCACCCAGAGTAGGAACTGATGGTTTGCTCCAGCCAGAGTAGGAACCGATGGTTTCCTCCACCCTGAGCAGGAACTGATGGTTCCCTCCACCCAGAGTAGGAACTGATGGTTTGCCCCACCCAGAGTAGGAACTGATGGTTTTTCTCCACCCAGAGTAGGAAATGATTGTTTCCTCCACCTAGAGTAGGAACCGATGGTTTCCTCCACCCAGAGTAGGAACCAATGGTTTCCTCCACCCTGAGTAGGAACTGATGGATTGCTCCGCCCATAATAGGAACTGATGGTTTTCTCCACCCAGACAGGAACTGATGGTTTCCTCCACCCAGAGTAGGAACTGATGGTTTCCTCCACCCAGAGTAGGAACTGATGGTTTCCTCCACCCAGAGTAGGAACTGATGGTTTCCTCCACCCTGAGTAGGAACCGATGGTTTGCTCCACCCAGAGTAGGAACCGATGGTTTGCTCCAGCCAGAGTAGGAACCGATGGTTTCCTCCACCCTGAGTAGGAACCAATGGTTTCCTCCACCCTGAGTAGGAACCGATGGTTTGCTCCACCCAGAGTAGGAACCGATGGTTTCCTCCACCCAGAGTAGGAACCGATGGTTTCCTCCACCCAGAGTAGGAACCGATGGTTTCCTCCACCCAGAGTAGGAACCGATGGTTTCCTCCACTCAGAGTAGGAACCGATGGTTTGCTCCACCCAGAGTAGGAACTGATGGTTTCCTCCACCCTGAGTAGGAACCGATGGTTTGCTCCACCCTGAGTAGGAACTGATGGTTTGCTCCGCCCATAATAGGAACTGATGGTTTCCTCCACCCAGAGCAGGAACTGATGGTTCCCTCCACCAAGAGTAGGAGCTGATGGTTTGCTCCACCCAGAGTAGGAACTGATGGTTTTTCTCCACCCAGAGTAGGAAATGATTGTTTCCTCCACCTAGAGTAGGAACCGATGGTTTCCTCCACCCAGAGTAGGAACCGATGGTTTCCTCCACCCTGAGTAGGAACTGATGGATTGCTCCGCCCATAATAGGAACTGATGGTTTTCTCCACCCAGAGCAGGAACTGATGGTTCCCTCAACCCAGAGTAGGAGCTGATGGTTTCCTCCACCCAGAGTAGGAACTGATGGTTTCCTCCACCAAGAGTATGAACTGATGGTTTCCTTCACCCAGAGTAGGAACTGATGGTTTCCTCCACCCAGACAGGAACTGATGGTTTCCTCCACCCAGAGTAGGAACTGATGGTTTCCTCCACCCAGAGTAGGAACTGATGGTTTTTCTCCACCCAGAGTAAGATATGATGGTTTCCTCCACCCAGACAGGAACTGATAGTTTCCTCCACCTAAAGTAGGAACTGATGGTTTCCTCCACCCAGAGTAGGAACTGATGGTTTGCTCCACCCAGAGTAAGAAATGATGGTTTCCTCCAACCAGAGTAGGAACTGATGGTTTTCTCCACCCAGAGTAGGAACCGATGGTTTCCTCCACCCAGAGTAGGAACCGATGGTTTCCTCCACTCAGAGTAGGAACCGATGGTTTGCTCCACCCAGAGTAGGAACTGATGGTTTGCTCCACCCAGAGTAGGAACTGATGGTTTCCTCCACCCTGAGTAGGAACCGATGGTTTGCTCCACCCTGAGTAGGAACTGATGGTTTGCTCCGCCCATAATAGGAACTGATGGTTTCCTCCACCCAGAGCAGGAACTGATGGTTCCCTCCACCAAGAGTAGGAGCTGATGGTTTGCTCCACCCAGAGTAGGAACTGATGGTTTTTCTCCACCCAGAGTAGGAAATGATTGTTTCCTCCACCTAGAGTAGGAACCGATGGTTTCCTCCACCCAGAGTAGGAACCGATGGTTTCCTCCACCCTGAGTAGGAACTGATGGATTGCTCCGCCCATAATAGGAACTGATGGTTTTCTCCACCCAGAGCAGGAACTGATGGTTCCCTCAACCCAGAGTAGGAGCTGATGGTTTCCTCCACCCAGAGTAGGAACTGATGGTTTCCTCCACCAAGAGTATGAACTGATGGTTTCCTTCACCCAGAGTAGGAACTGATGGTTTCCTCCACCCAGACAGGAACTGATGGTTTCCTCCACCCAGAGTAGGAACTGATGGTTTCCTCCACCCAGAGTAGGAACTGATGGTTTTTCTCCACCCAGAGTAAGAAATGATGGTTTCCTCCACCCAGACAGGAACTGATAGTTTCCTCCACCTAAAGTAGGAACTGATGGTTTCCTCCACCCAGAGTAGGAACTGATGGTTTGCTCCACCCAGAGTAAGAAATGATGGTTTCCTCCAACCAGAGTAGGAACTGATGGTTTTCTCCAGCCAGAGTAGGAACTGATGGTTTCCTCCAGCCAGAGTAGGAACTGATGGTTTCCTCCACCCAGAGTAAGAAATGATGGTTTCCTCCAACCAGAGTAGGAACTGATGGTTTTCTCCAGCCAGAGTAGGAACTGATGGTTTCCTCCAGCCAGAGTAGGAACTGATGGTTTCTTCCAGCCAGAGTAGGAACTGATGGTTTCCTCCACCCAGAGTAGGAACTGATGGTTTCCTCCACCCAGAGTAGGAACTGATGGTTTCCTCCACCCAGAGTAAGAAATGATGGTTCCCTCACTGACCCCAGTACCTTGCAGTTAAGTGCAGCAGTTGGAAGGTGTAAGACAATTTGCAGTGTGATTTTCTGTTTCACTTAACAGCTTGAGGATTGATTAATCTTGAAAGCCAAATATTTCTTATCATCAAGATTACATTTTTCAGTCAATTTATATGTACAGTTCTGTTTATACAAATTCAAAATTCTTTTGCTTATCTCATAAGAAAACAGTCTCAAAACCAAAATTATTTTGCAGAAAATATCTAATTCCTTCGAGTTCAGTATGTGCTTTCCTAAGAAATCATATTTTTTATATGTATATTTGTATCTCTCTTTCCAAAAAAATCATAATCTGTGACAAGCTGCTGCACATTAAAAGTAATGTTAATCTTTAAACATTTTAAACCCTAACGATGCCTTTAATTGGTGCAACTGTCCTCTTGAAGATAATTTGTTGTTTTTTCGTGATTATCATTCTACTTTGAGAGTTAAACAATCTCTTTATATGAGTTCAGAATGGGTTTGGAACTAATCAGGTTAAGGATATCGTGATGAAGAATATCGTTGGTACAAATATCATAGTCTGCCTCATTAATTGAAAAGAACATTTTTCTCAAAACATTAAAGCAGATAGACAAATATGATCATCGCAAGGATTGGCCTGTCTATGTTTTAAGCGTAATACTGTCTGGGCATCATGACAAATGTCGGACTTGGGAATCCTCCATAAACATGGTCCCAGACTCCAATCTAGAAATAGAGGCAGTGCTTAATATGGCCTTAAATTTAGGGAGCTGGTTGATAAGAAGGAGCTAAGAAAAGAAGCATTTTGCCCTGTTTGTTATCAGTGAAAATACCTGACGTTTATTCAGTGGCCATCTTCATTGAAAATGGGAATGGGAGTACAGTCTTTCGGTGTTTCAGTTTTGGATGTTGAATGGATGACATATAAACAGGAGGAACATTGTAGCATGTGTGTATTGTTTCATCAAGCAGTTTATTCTATTTTGGATGATAAAGTGTTGGTTGGCTGCAGCACGTGGTTGAAGGGAGGACTTTTTTATTGTGTGGCGTTGGCTAGGCATGACACTTTTCTTCTTTGGTTTACTGATGATAAGTGGGAAAAAAATGTTTTAGTTTGTTTGTAATTTAATGCCCTACAGCGGTCTGTAATTTATTGAGTCTGTACCAGACAATCCAGAGATTGATGTCATGAGCATCAAGGACAAATATGAAATCTAAAAAGTATGTGTTTATTCCCTGTTTGCAAATTTAAGTGTTCATCACAAGCAAAATGTGCATAATATAGACGCTATTGCATGACAATAGGTTGAAATAGTTATATGATGCTTTACTGCACACATGACATCATTTTTTTAAAATTAAAAATTGATATAATTTTTTATATATTTTTTTCAACCTTGCACCAAGGATATTTCACACAAAACTCTGTGGAGCAAGGTATATAGACTGACATTTAGTCCAGAAATTAATTTATCTTATCTATATAAATATATATCTACAAAATGAAAAAAAATCCATATGGACAAGCCCAGAACAATCTTAGAGCTGGGGCAATCTAGACTTGCCAAATCATTCTAGAGTTGAGTTGGACTCCGTAGTTTATTTTCTAGGGTAAAGGAAACAGACTACAAGGTATATAAAAAGTCTCTGATTTCTCCTGTATACCATATTTCAATGTAGACTTTATTTATGCTTTGTATACATGTACAGGTGAGAGTGTCTGTGTGAGATTGAGTGTTCTGGAAAGTATAGTTTCGTGTATCTCACCTCTCCATGTTCATTCCAAGGAGCGTAAGGCTTTCCTGGGCAGAAGCTCCTATCTGTAACAGGACTCTAGAAAATGAAATGTAATCACACACAAAAATCAAAATAAGATCTATAAAAAGTCTTGCCCACCCACACCTGGAAGCTACTTTTTTTTAGTTCATTTGGGCTACAGGTAAAATTGAGCCTATGTGCAGTGGTGTGCATGTTCTGTAGCTATTGTCAGTGGTTTTGCTGGTATCACGCCTGTAAACATCCTCTTTGCAAAATCTGACTGAAAGTCAAATAATTTTGCTTTGCTATAGCAACCATTTTTTAAAAAACCTATAACCATATATTGTCAGATATTTACAGAAAATAAAGAGAAATTAGGAATTTTAGGTGGTCCTTAAGATTAATTACGTGTTTTTTCCATATCATTGAATTTTGACCTTGACCTTCCCACTGTGACCCCCATCTTCAAATTTTCTCAACAAGCACTTTGTGAATTGATGAATTGTTTGACATACTGTGTTGTGTGTTTCAGGTGGTCCAGCTCAATAAACAGCCCCTCTTGGTGTCCATGATAGCCAGATCAGATGCCAATACAGGTAATAGGGCAGATCATTCTTGGTCAGTTGGATTGTAATTGCATTGCACAGAGATAGGTTTATGAGTAGTTCTGTAGTTCAGCCAACTTCACTTGGTAGTTTCTATAACATTTATGTCAAGGCAGAATGCATTACAGTAGAACACGGATATAACGAACACGGATATAGCGAACAAACGGATACAACGAACTGTTTAAAAATCCCCGATTTATCTCCTATATAATATCATATAAAATTTACGTATATAACGAACTCTCTACAATTGCCCCGCGCACCCTGCTGTTTCCAATCTGACAAACATTAAACTTGTGTTTCTACCACCAAACACAACATCAGGGGACCAGGGGATTATCGCTAATCTGAAGCAACATTACAAGCGACAGATGATGACGAGCATGATATCTTGTTTTGAGAAGAAACAAGATCACACGATAAGCATCCTGAATGCAATCGAGATGGTACATCGAGCGTGGCGGCAGGTTAATGCAACATCGATAAAGAACTGTTTCTGGAAAGGTGGCTTTGTTTTGACGGATGGTGTAGCTGAATCCGACAGTGAATCGGATGACATTCCCTTATCAGACCTCCGGGATGTATGAGCCGAATTAAAGAATGTCACAGACATTCCATCCGAAGTGACACTCCAAGAATTCATAGACGCCGACCGAGATATTCTTGTTGCCGAACGTCCGAGCGATGACGACATTATCCAGTCAATTGTTGACAAGCGCGATGGCACTAGTCGAATGGATTCTGATGATGAGGAAATGCAAGATGGGATTGATTTCGTGGAACCAGCCCCACCCTCCTTTGCCGATGCAAATAAGGCGCTTGAAACACTAAAGCTCTTCTTGAATACGCAAAAAGCAACAGACATGACCTCTTTTGATAGTTTGGCGGATCTGAACGATGCCGTTTCAAGAATGCAGTCAGCGAAACGAGGCCAAAGTAAAATCAAGACTACACATCTCGTATGTAAATTGAAAAATGATGAATATGTTTAAATTTTGTACATGTAATTGATAACAATCTTCAGAAAATGTTATGAATTTAATGTTATTAAATGTATGTTGTAAATTGATATCAACTGAATGATCACTGCTAATACAATTAATGCTGCAGTTACGTGTGTATTGTGTTTTGTCTTATCCAAGATGGCGGACATTTCCGAGCAAAAAATGGATATAACGAACTGATTTCTCTGGTCCCTAGTAGTTCGTTATATCCGTGTTGTGCTGTAGTTGTCAGATTTTCATCTATGCCCGCTTCAGTACCAAACACCTGCCTCCAATTCTTTTGTTGTCCCCAATTACCTCAAGACAGAAAATTTACCCATGAAGATCTATGGTAGAAAAGGTCTTCAGCAACCGATTCTTGCCATAAAAGGCAACTATGCTTGGCGTAAGTGAGTGGGGGCACAGGTGGCCCAGTCATCTAAGGCACCGCGATTCGCTGTGCAGAGTTGCATCCCTTGCACATGCCAGAAACCTAGGATTGTGAGTTTGAATCCCGGTTCGCCCTGTGATTATGTTTCTAGGTTTGTCAGGACCATACCCGTGCTCATGGGTTTCACTGAAGTGGTAAACTTCTGAGACCTGCATCAGTTCAGGCTTCCCTCCCACATTATGCTGACACACCATGATATACCTGGAATAATGTTAAAAGCGATGTTAAACCCGACTCACTCACTCACTCACTTAAGTGAGTATGTAGCATGGGATGTTCATCTGCACCAACACCTCAATGAAACGTTAACTCATTAGTATTTCACACAATTGACCTTAAGGAAAATGTTACATTTTCAGTTATTTTTAACCTAATTCATACATGGGGCCATGAGTAATGTTCCTGCTCAATTATTTGCTCAGTATCAAATCAAACTGAACAAAGGAATGTTGATGTTCAGAATGTTCCCTCGAATCATTTGAGAAGTATATATCAAACCAACAGGAACAAATGAATGTTGATGTTCAAAATGTTCCCTCGAATCATTTGAGAAGTATATATCAAACCAAAAGAAACAAATGAATGTTGATGTTCAAAATGTTCCCTAGAATCATTTGAGAAGTATATATCAAACCAACAGGAACAAATGAATGTTGATGTTCAAAATGTTCCCTAGAATCATTTGAGAAGTATATATCAAACCAAAAGAAACAAATGAATGTTGATGTTCAAAATGTTCCCTAGAATCATTTGAGAAGTATATATCAAACCAACAGGAACAAATGTATGTTGATGTTCAAAATGTTCCCTAGAATCATTTGAGAAGTATATATCAAACCAAAAGGAGTGATTGAATGTTAACATGAAAAAAATCTCCCTTGAATAATAAGAGCAGTATATATCAAACCTAAAGGATATATTGAACGTTAATGTTTAAATCCTTTTTTGAATAATTTGAGCAGTATATACATCAAACCTAAAGGAGCCAGTGATTAATTAACTTTAAAAGTCCTCCCTAGAATACTTTGATCAGAATATATCAAACCAGCTGGAACCATTGAACCATTGAGAGCTTACTTCAAATAATTGGTGAAGTCTATATCAAAACCAACAGGAACAGCTGAACTTAAATTCGTTTAAAATATTTTGTTTGGTCCTATTTCACACATGAATTATCAGGATCCATTACCCTTGATCTGATTCATCTTTCATTTAACTTCATTAACGACCCATCTAAACAAGTTCTATTCAGGAGATGACTCTATTGTGTTTTGGCTTGCGGAGCATGCTATCTTCCATCTAATAGGAAACTGTGTGCGGTTTCAAATGCACAACGAGACACATCAAATCTACAGATAGTATACAACAATATTCACAACACAGTAGGTTAACTTCGCTGTGCCATGACAAAATAAACGCTTAACTTCACAAACTCACTGATGATTGAAATGATAAGTGAGTTATATGTGTGGTTTAGTCTACAAATCCCCCTGAGTTATGAGACTCTATTCTGAGACTTCAGATAAGTTTTTTCCAGTGCATTGTGCTGGATATACTCCTACTGCATCGTCAACAATATACGTCGGCCATATCGATGAGAGACATTTACATTATCTGTCGGGGCTTAATATATACACAATTTAAACAGCCATTGCTAACAGGCATGAACAAGACGAGGGTAACCTTTGGGTCCTATTTGGTGATTTAAATAGTTTTACTTCTAAATATGTTTTTTTCATTCTGGAAAACAACTGTGGAATGTTTACTCAGCTGTTTTATTTGGAAATGGCATCTTAATTGCTTCTTAAGTTGTATATTAGAGGTTTGATTAAGTTCTGGGGACATGACTGTGACAGTAAAATAATGACTTGTATGTCCCAGGGTTTTACATGATGCAGAAATGTGCATCTTGTATGCATAATGGATGCAGAAAAAATATATTTTGTGTCATGAGGGATGCAAGATAATATTAATTGTATCAAATTCTTGACAAGAAATAAAATGGTAATTAAAGTAATTATCAAATCTTGCAGTACAGTACTTTACACCATTTCATTACTATACCGAACCCCCATCTGTCTTGTAAGGATCCTTGACATAAATTATTGGAGGTCACCAGGACCCCCAGTTTTGTAAGTCAAGGTTTAACGCTGGCGTCTGGTTTACGAATATTTACATGGCATTTTGTGTAGTTGTAAGTCAACATAAATAACACTTTTCAAATCTGAAAATGCACTTGTGTTTTCAGATTTGTTGGTTTGATTGAGTATTTGATACCCCAAAATTCATTTCCAATGGTAACAATACTATGTATCAAATATTTAATAAAACCTCCAAATTTGAAATCACATAATGTTCATCTTCAGAGTAAAATACAAAAGTTATCAGTTATTTTCAGAAGTGAATGTTCTGATGACATTCAGGAATGCAAAAAAAGCCAAACAAAGTCAAATTTGGTCTGATAAATATTGATTCTAATTAACGTGGTATCCATTTCGGCAAGCCAAATGGAATGTTTTTCAAATTTTGATTTATAAAACTATATAGACTCATAAGCTATCAAAAAGATTTCCAGGCTTCGAATCCCATTTAACTCTGTTTTTCAACCAATATGATCAGATTGCATCCAATATGATCCGATGGCATCACATTCATTGTACAAGGTTCAGTATGACAACATTACAGCAACTTGATACTTTTGTAACAATTGGTATTATTGCCAAGGTTGTGAGAATGTACAGAGAAAATACAACTGTGTCTTGCGGTTTTATCAAGAATGATGATTTGAAGAAATAGAATATTTGGTTAATCTTGTGTTGTCAATACTTCATGAGAGTAAACACAATGTTCCTCCAGCACCCATGAATACCTACAGACACAATCACACTGATATTCCTCACCTAACTAATTGAAGATTTATAGAGGAATGTCCAATCACAACCATATATCAGACATTCCGGAATGTTCGTTTGTTCAGTTTTCAAAATTTTAATTGAGAACTGTGTAAACATTATTTTTCAAGCGTAGTCTGAAATGGAAATCGCCAGGTTGAAACGAGTGCCGTAAAGCTCAAGAAAGCTGCTTTCTAATTGGCTGATGTCGACTTCTTGTTAGTCATTTCTGTGATTGGTCGAAGTTCGCGAAATGTCTTTCTGACGTGACCTGTAATGGGATGTCCTCAGATCTTTGGTTAGCTCCAGCGAGAACTAAGATCTGATTTTAATGAGACTGGAACCAGGGACGCCCTATTGAAAATTGTGTCTATTGCCATTACGAAATTTGGTATTTGTTTCGTTAATTGTCGGAAATTGTTGAAATTTTTATCTTGTTATTACCATGCTGGTTTTTTTGCTCTGTAAACTTTCTTGAAAATAAGGAGCCTTGCTTTGGCATGTAGATTATAATGTTACTTTTAGTCCTCCGTATGCATGTGGAAATCATTGTAATAGCAATGCTGACAACAGCTTTTGTTATGTGGCTCTCTTTGTTGACATTTTGTGCTGTTGACTACATATTCAGGTGAGCTACAGTGTCGTAGCATACCAAATATTGTGTGTATCAGCAAAGTGGTAAAAGTCTTCCTTCCATGTTTAGCTAACATGCATTTATTTGATTGAAATACTTTACAAACTGTGTGGAACCCAACTCACTCAGTATACAGTATATATGTCCACAATAGGGCTGTTATGATTCACTCACGTATTTGGTGAATCGAAACGTATCCATTCATGAATTGGATTCGTTATTCATGGCCACTAGAATCGAATATTTATGAATATGCAAGCATGTGCATTTACATAAAAATTCCCATAAGAACACATTATAAGCATAGATTTCTTCAAAAGACAACACTCTTATACTATTTAATTTGACAGTAGTGTGGTCACTGGTCATTGTCACATTTGAGCATATACTAGTATCTGGATAAGTGCAGTATATAAATGTAGAATATATTAATAATTAACAAACCATGTCAAATAATTTATGTTGTTGTTGCTTCACTGAATATAACAAATAAAACATCAGCTGCTGACTTGTTATTGTATTCCTGAATTAATATTCGTATTCGTTACCCTATATATGTTGATACAAATCACATTCGCCTCATAGTGTATTCGTTGCAGCCCTAGTCCACAACTTAAAAATTTAAAAGAATTTCAAGCTTTTATATGTATGACTATTCCGTACAGTAGTCAGGCTGGTAGGCTATTCATGCTGGTAGTTTTGTCTGGCTATTTTCTCTTGCTACACGCATAGCCAGCTTAACATTATGTAAAGTATTCAAATATTTCATCAGTGTTAACCAAACTTCAGTCCTGTATACCCGATGCACAGGTTGCTCGTTGTGTTTGCTGTTGGAGATTAGTTAATGATTTTATGAAAGCTTCATCTGGTTACTTTGCGTACACTATTTCCTGAATAATGTAAGGGAGATAATGGAGGACGATATTACAAGGATTTTATGAACACATTGTGGAAAGTCAGATTTCCTAAAATCATGAAGTCTACAGTCTGTCTACAAATGACACTTATGTTTTGTTTGTTTCTTTGTAGTTTAATGCCACACTCAGCAATATTCCAGCTATGTGATGGTAGTCTGTGAATAAATGAGTCTGGACCAGACAATCCAGTGACTGACATCATTAGCATGGATCATGCATGAGCCAAGTCAGCGAGCCAGACCACCCTTTCCCAATAGTCGCCTTTTACGGCAAGCATGGATTGAATGTGTAGCACATACACTGTGTGCTAGCTTCAAGATCCAAGCCGACAGATATTCATGTTAACAGTGCAATCAGACATGTAACACTAACACAAGTTTGCAGTGAATGCATAAGTGAGTGAGTATGGTTTTAGGCCGCTTTCAGCAATATTCCAGAAATGGGCTTCACACATTGTACCCATATCGGGAATCAAACCCGGGTTTTCGGCGTGACGAGCGAAGGCTTTAACCACGAGGCTACCCAACCGCTCCAGTGAATGCTTAAGAAGTGTAATGTTTGCTTACTGATTCTGTGTTTATGTTTGCTTGCTGATTCTGTGTTTATGTTCTTCACAGGAGACATTCTGAACCTAGAAAACGAGCTGTCTGATGTCTTAATTGAGGTTTCAAAAGTGATCAACATGTCATAGCACACCTGAACGAAAAAACAGATGGGATGATGACGATGTACAGAGCCATCATGGCAGGAAGACAGTGATTGGCTGGCCTTGTCACATGACATTCTCTGACATATTATCCAGATATTGGGGAAATCTCACCTTGCAACTTATGTTAGATTTAGGGTTAGGGTTAGTCTGACCTTGACCTGACCTTGTCCTAACTATAACCCTTACCTAACACTGACCAAATGATAACTCTGACCCTGACCCAACCTTGATCCTAACCTGACCCTACCCTGAATCAACCCTGAATCAACCCTGACATAAGCTTGTCCCTCTCCCTATCCCTGACCCTATTCTGATACCTAATTCTAACCCCAACCTTGATCCTGACCTCGGCCACAAGATGACCCTGACCCTGACCCTGATGCTAGCCCTAACCCTAACCCTAATGTCCACATACCCGCGGTAACATTCTTATCAAGAATTCACTTTAAAGACTATTATCTGTTTATCATTTTAGCTCCACAGCATTAATGAAATATCCTACTTTCTAAATTTCTACTAACGTTAACATGCTTAAGAATGTTTTAGGCAGAAATATTTGTGAGTGTAACATTTCTTCCTTTTATGAACAAAAATGTCAAAAATTGTGTAATAATGGAGAAAGTATCCATTATGTTAATTGTGAAATTATTGTATGTTATATCTCATCAGCAGGATGGTCATTTATGTTGCTACAAATGTACGTGCAATAATAATGTTTCCTGTCATAGTATTTTATTGTTATAAATAAATGTATGCTACTTGCAAATATTTCATTTCCTGTGTTCTGTTGTAGTTTCTTCGATTGATGAGATGTTGTGTGTTACAGTTGCTTGGTTTACACTGAAGTCATTTATTACAATTTCTGTGTTATCAGAATAGTCATGGCCCTATTGATTCTTCTTGTGATTACCGTTACAATGTATTTTAGTCACTGAAAAGACGCAAAGGCAAATTAAATGTTTAAGTGTTGATTTTACATAGTTTTTAGTAAAAGTATCTTTTTACTTTTAACATTTTCTAAAATTCAATAATAGACAAGGTACATGTATGTTCATTCTGAATAGGCATTTGTCAGTCATAGACAGTGATTGTTTTTGTGATTTTTATTTTTGCAAATTTAGGACAGGTTCATCCTTCTAAACAATTATGATGTCACCCTGCCTGGTTTCAAAATGATGTGTAAGAACTCTGTGACAGTCTTTATTTGCCCCTCACTGCATCTGGCTGCATTTTGTTGTTGTTCTTGTTGTTTAACGTCACACTCTGCAATATTCCAGCTATTTGACGGCAGTCTGTAAATAATCGAGTCTGGCCCAGACAGTCCAGTGATTGACATCATGAGCATCAATCTATGCAATTGGGATACGATGACATACACCAACCAAGTCAGCAAGCCCTACCATTCGATCCTGTTAGTTACCTCTTGCAACAATTGAGTAGCTTTTTACTGCAAGCATGGGTTGCTGAAGACATATTCTATCCCGGATCTTCACAGGTCTCTAGCTACATCAGCTATCGCTCCGTGGGCAGTCACAGACATGTATGACTATCCAAGTGTAGGACTTTGATTTTAATTTACAGCCAAAAACATTATTCACCTTAAAACTTAAAATCAAGGATCAACCCCAGCAGAAGGAAAATATATTTCTGAAGACAGGTGTGACACTGCCATAGCTCTGACACTGACACTGACTAGTTGCATCCGCCATCAGGGTGTGGGAAGTCACAGACATGTATGGCACTGTGGAACACGGTACCATAGGGACACGGCTCTCTGATGGTCTGGCCGAATGTACAGGTGTAATAGTATTGACAGGAGGAGGCGTCGGGGTAAAGTCCATCTGTCTTGTCAGCACAGAAGTTGGACACAAAGTCTGCAATGGAGAGGGTAGAAGATGTATGCCTTGTTAGCATGGGATTCAGAATCTGCAATAAGAGAAAGTAAGTGTGTGAGTTTTCTCATCAGAGAGGGGTAGCCTAGTGGTTAAAGCGTTCGCTCGTCACGCCGAAGACCCGGGTTCGATTCCCGACATGGGTACAATGTGTGAAGCCCATTTCTGGTGTCCCCCGCCGTGATATTGCTGGAATATTGCAATATTGCTTAAAGCGGCGTAAAAGCATACTCACTCACTCACTCTCATCAGAGACCACATGACCAAAGATGTGTAACAAGAGAGGGAAGTACAGAAATTACATTTTAAGAGTTAACTAGCTATGATGCACTTACTGCCATGAACTTTACAAGTTGTCATGAATGATGGAAACCGATCACACTCCGTATCTATGCTATCCCCTTGGGAACTGGGGAAGAAGCAATATTGTTACTAATAATAATGAATCATGGTTTGTACAACCTACAATATCTTTGGAGTGGAGTTGATCATCAGCCAGTGCTGGTAATTCAGTCTCATTTTAGTTTAATCATACGTGTACTTATCCAAATCATATACAGAAGTATCTTTGGAACTCTCCAATTCTTTGATTGCCATGTAAGTGATCCCCTACAGTCGGTTCTAGAGTAATTAGGATAAATCTGTGGACACTTACTTCCAGAAGAGCCTTCATTGAAGTTCTGAGTGGGAGATACAGCATTACCCTGGGGAATCACTGTGTTGTAGTCTGTCAGTTGTCTGGAACACAACAAAGGGCACACCTGTTATTTATCTTTGCACATCCTTTTAACTATCAGACAAATACGTATCAGCTCAAAACTACAAGTAAAACCAAAATCCAAAGTCTTCCATGATTGTAACGTACTCAGTTTCTGGTACCATGTGAACGCATCTTTGTTCAATGTAAAAATTAAAATGAAAGCCGACAGCCACACAATGATCATTATAACACATTTGATATAGATCTCTGACATTCGTGAGGTAAGTGGGAGATCTATTATTCCGGTATGACAACTCTCTGTGAGAAGCTATGAGGAACTTCTTTGATAGGCATTTAGAAGTTGTAGTACTAAGTAAGGATAAGAATTTATGGATGAACAACTTCTTTATTACAATTAAGAGCGACGTTTCGGTGTAGGTTCTAACACCTTGCTTGAACCTACACCGAAACGTCGCTCTTAATTGTAATAAAGAAGTTGTTTATCCATAAATTCTTATCCTTACTGAGGTCTGAGGAGACCTCCATAAAAGGTCGCGTTAGGTAAACCCTGATCAAACAGCCAAATCTAAAGGAAGGATGAGTGGGTTCTTCAGCCAATCAGATGTCAGCTTTCTAATACGATAGGACTTTATTTGTTTACCACCTCGATTCGGAAATCTCGATGGTAACCCCATTTAGGTGTAGATGCCATGGCGCTGAGAAACGTTAGGGTATTTGAAATATCCTCAACAGTATAATGGCGCGGCCTTATTTAGCTACATTCGGAACTTGTCGAACTTTTGTTCGTTTTAGAGATACAGAAATGAGATAAACTGGTTTGAATGCTTCCCTCACTCGTACCTAGCTGATTTGCTGAATAGAATGTTCACCCGATGTGACCTTCTAATGACATGTTCTCAGATCTCACGCAGGTATCATGTCACAGTAAACGATCTCATTGTTATGAGATGGGTGAGGGTATTCTTGAGAGTGTATCATAGTTTTGTTGATATTTATTGGTTTATTGAATGTATGCTGGTTTGACCATTAATTGTTCAATTAACACAATCAGACCCATGGCATTTGGCATTACTGAATATGTGTTTTCACCAAGTTTAACCAAGTTACCTTTTGCCCACAATGATGCTGAATGCATCTTTGATGGCATGAATGAGCGGGTAGGTCTTGCCACAGATACCTCCGAAGTCGTCCAGATCCAGGGCCCAGACCATGATGCCACCATAACCATTGTTTATTACGTACTTAACCTGAAGAGAAGGAATCGGTATACACTAAACTCCTGGCGGCCTATTCACAAAGCTGTCTTAGCGCAAAGATTGGCGTAAAGGTGTAGCGAAAAACGTCCTAGCTAAGCCTATACTCAAAGCTGTCTTAGCGCTAAGTTATCTTAAGTTTAAGACAAAAATTAAGACAGGATCAGACCTGTCGAAACCTGTCTTAGCTACACGGCTACAATAGGTTTAAGACAGTTTCAAGAATAGCTCTAATGGCAGTCGTAATTTTTGTCGTAAGTCGCTAAGATTTGTCTTAGCTGAGACAGCTTCCTATATAGGCCGCCTTTCCTTTACGGCCCTGTTGATGCGCAGATGCTGAACACTGACCTTGAAGATTGATGTATATTTAAATAATGATTGAAGTTTATGTAAAAGACGTGTGACATGCCCTGACGATTGTCTTTTTCTTACATGCGTCAGTGGATTTGGTTGTTTGAACTCAGCAATATTCCAGCTGTTTGACGACGGCCTGAAGCTAAGCGACTCAGGACCAGACAGGGCCAGTGATTGATATGGGCAGCGTCAGGGAAAGATGCCATGCAATCCACTAAGTCACTGAAGCCTGTCCACCCGATCCCCATTCCGAGATCAGTGATTGATATGAGCAGTCAAACAACTAAGTCACTTAATTCTGACCAACCAATCCATTTAGTCATCTCGTTAGATAAGCATAGGTTAATGGCGACCTATTCCAACCCGGAGTCTACACGGGGACAAAGCCAGGCACCGTGATGCAGTCTTCAGTACCTTCTTCTGAAGACTCTTCTCGTCATCGTATCCGACCCATGTCTCCCCGTGTACCATGTAGGGCACGGACTGGTTGCTGCTGATGTAGCTGGTGGCGCCAGTATTCAAAAGCTGGCATATCTATGAACACGAATATGGTAGATGACCTGACGCCATCTCTCTTAGCCAGACTTTCACATGAAATTGTATCATGGGAATTTTCAGTTAAGTTTATGAAAAGTGTCTTGCATCTTGCTTATGATTAAGTTAGTTTTAAAGGGAGAATTCGTTTCATGCTTTGCCATTACCAGTCTTGATCTACACGTTTTAAATTGACCGTGGCAGTCAACGCCAGAGAAGAAGCAGTCTCGACTATCCATCGAAAGTTTAATGCAAACTGGCGGTGAAAATTAAATGAATGGATGACTGAAATTGACTGTTGACACCAGGTGTTCACGATAGGGTAAGCATATCCTGCACTACCGGTAGCACCGCCACTCATACAATTTGTATCCAAAGAAAGTATTTGTTTGTTGCCTGACGGCGCACAACAGCAGACCTGCCATGCGACGGCGGCCTGTGAACAAACCAGACAATCAAGTGAAGGACCAGATAGAGTGAGTGAGTATAGTTTACACCGCTTTTAGCAATATTCCAGCAATATCACGGCGGGGGACACCAGAAATGGGCTTCACACATGGTACCCATGTCGGGAATCGATCCCGGGTCTTCGGCGTGACGAGCGAAAGCTTTAACCACTAGGCTACCCGACCGCCCCTGAGCCAGATAGAAAATCCAGTGACAGGATAGCCCATTTACTGAATTAGTTGAAACATGTTTAACATTGTCGCTTCTGTAGTTAGGATAATCCTTTACTTCAAGATAGGTATTTATTTTGGCATAACATTAGAGTAAGAAGACCCGGAAAGTGAGTTTTTAACAAGTGGAATCAAATTTGCTGGGACTTATTGTTAGCCTCCTCTGTTAATATTCGAAAAGAAACATCTTTTCCAGCTAAAAGTTCATTTATTCCAGTCTTCTGACTCAATTTAATTTTTCGAGAGCTCACGTGGACAGCTGCCTTGAATTTGAATGAAGATGTATATACGCCCAGACAAGGCATGATGATTGGTTGTTGAATTGGCTCATGAAATTATGAGAGAAATTACGTGCTGAGTTATTGATAACAGAGGTGGAGCTGGTGGCATCACTTCTGTATTTATTCATAATAAATCCAGAGAATTAACACACTGGAGTGAGCGAGTGAGTTCTACTAGGGGACGTAACTCTGTAAAGCGAAAATGCTTTCCTCACGTTACTGGGCCACCCCAGTCCCAATCTCATTAAAATCAGATCTTAGTTCTCGCTACCGCTAAACAAGCGGCGGCGAGAACTAAGATCTGATTTTAATGAGACTGCCCCAGTCCCCTCCACGAGTGAGTGAGTGAGTTGGGTTTCACGTCACTTTGAACAGTATTTTAGTTATATCACGTCGTGCCAGCTTGATTATGTAGGAAGTCCCGAAATGATGCAGGTGCAAGACGTTTACAACTTTGGGGAAACTGACGATCACAGACAAATAATTACACTGGATAATCGAGGATGGGGCCATGATAATATATAATATTACCTCGTAGTAGGCCAGGGTTCCTTGACTGTGTGTTAGATTCCCAGCAGTCCCCGAGCCATATGCAGGTGCCCCTACTCCATGCACAGTGGTATCATTCAGAGAGAAGGTTCTTCCATAGAATGGCACGCCGATAAGAATCTTGTGTTTTGGTATTCCCATATTGGCCCAGTAATTCACCAAAGCGTCCTTAATAAGAAATAGTAAATCAATGTTGCAAGGTGATCACAGTGTTGGTGCAGCTTGGATACAAAGGATGCATCGGCAAACAAAGTAATCATTTTTTAGAAGAAATGAACACATACAATATAGTAGATATCTGTAGCCCAAATTAATCAAGTTTAAGTTTGAAAGGCATACACTAAAAAAAATCATTTTCAACATAAGACCTTAGAATGTGTCAAAGTGGTACAATGTCAGACTTAAGAACCATATCTCTTCCTCGTGTTAAGTCTTAAATAGATATCGTCTTCATATATAAGATATCAGATATATGCATTACTCACAATGTTTAAGCTTGGGTCAGTCGTGGTGCCGTACAGGGCTGCGTGGTGACCGGTTACTAACGGCTTGTTCCACAGTCCATGTAGGGCATAGGTCATCAGGTTGATGAGGTCCAGGGAACTAGAACACAGGCGAGGAATCTTTTTAGAAAGAAACAACGCCAAATCTGTTCCATAACATATTTTGACCTCCGATTTTACAACAACAAAAATCGTTCACTAGACTTGCCGGATGTTCAGAAACAATTGTGTTTGGGTCCTTCTTTCAGCGAAGAAGCAGTGGACACTACCATCTGAGAGTTTCATACACACATTAAATGAAAACGACAAAACCCATTCCATAATAAACCAATAATCATAAGCATGTGTTTATGAATCACTATCAAATAGTAATGATACCAGGGGTTCGCGAAAAGGTGAGCACATTCTGTCCTACCGGTGGCACCCGTCACAAACACATGCGAAGGTAAGTCAATTATCCACCTAAAAACACGGGAACATATGGAGCGAAATAGGAATTTGTGAAAACATCATTTTGGACACTGATGTGTTATATTTGTAAATACCCTCCACATATCTACCATAAAACATTCTAAAAGATTTACTAACACCAGGAATTATGTAACCCTGATCAAACAACTTTTGAGTCATGACACTCTTTGAAATTTTCGTAGAAAGAGCATGCTCGATTGTACCTCAAACGTTGTGAGATGTAGACACCAAAGGTTGTAGTAGTTGGAATATTTCTCGACATAAAAGGAAAGTTGACCTTTGGAAAATTGAATATAAAACATCAACGCCAGAGAACAATCAGTTTCAACCCAAGTCACTCCTCTTGTCATACAGTCTTGTGGATAGTCTTTTGTCACTCTGAATTTTTAAGCACAGATCTAAATATGAAACAGATGAGGCGGGTTCTCGTGAGTACATCGGTGGAAGGGAATTGGTTATTTGATCATTATTGAAGGATATAAGATCCCAGATGTACCTGAAGCTTAGGTAAAACTTCTTGGCCACATCCCTAGTCTTGTCTTGTTAATTAAACAAGACTGACGTTCTTAAAAACACCTGTTGAGACAATAATTGGTCACAATAACCAAGCACCGCTAAATTCTCTGATCTTTTGGATGTTATTCATTTTGCTCACGTGTAGTAAGTATATACTTGTATTGTCATAATGTTATCAAATTTGTACACTTGGGACTTTGCTGACTGGGAGATAGAGAGGAGGTGAGACAACACTTTCCAAGGATAAAACGGAACAGTTGCGAAAACAATTGGACTCGCCTTTTCCTCCATGATTGTCATCGCAACTGTTCCTTTATGTTCCCATGCGGTACTATCACGAGTCCATTATGTATTACTTTCAGAAAACTAGCAATCCTGTGGCCATGTATTTATCATATGTTAAGCAGCCGTGCTCATTAAGCCGTGAAGTTCCGTGTTAGAATTGCTCTTGGCAACCCATGCTTGTAAGAGGCTACTACCGGGATCGGGTGATCAGGCTCATTGACTTTGTTGATGCATGACATCGTGTCCCAATTGCGTAGATCGATGCTCATTATATCAATCACTGAATTGTCTTGTCCTGATTATTTAGAGACCGCCATCAGATAGCTAGAATATTGCATAGTGCGGGGTTAACAACAAAGAAATAAACAATGAGGTGGACATTTTCCATCTTGTTTTGACATTTACCTGGCCAGCTCAAGGGCTTCGTAGGACTTCCCAACTCTGTGAGGCGACGGTGCCAGGGCCGCAGTCAAAAGAAGTCGAGGGTTGCCTGTCTGGCTGGCCTCATGGTGAAAAGCCGAATACACAACCTGTGCAGATATATCAACCATCTGTCTCCAAGCTCATCCCTGTACTTATAACCAACGATGATCCATGTCCATTACTGAATTGGTTAATGAGGTGAAACCACGTTAATCCGTTAGTCTCGTTGGAAACGTCTATATATATTTACAGGGAAATTACTCCGCACTTCTCTATCCCGAAAGTTATTAATCCTTAAAATTATAAACAGCCCCGAACGGATTAATGAGTTTTCACTTCACATGTATTCAATCTATCTTCATAAAAAAATTCCCCTGAGGTTCCTTTCACAAATATGACGTCTTTTAAATACGTGAACGTAGTTTTTTTAAAAGTGACCCTACATAATAATGTACCTACAATTTTACCTTTGTGTAAATATTACTCTACGCCGCACCATCGTGTATGTATGTTAATTGGTAGTAGGTCATTAAACAAAAGAGTTTTAAAAAAACTGCATACATGTTAATGTACATCTATCAATTCCAATCTGGCATCTTTGACGACCTCTGACAATTAAAGGTGTTGATATACAATCACATTTACGATCAAATATCTCCTGAAAGCAGCACAAACTGTCGGTGAAAAAAGAAATACCCTTTCTTAAAATGGTTGACATATAATAAAGAAAACACATATACAGTCAAGTACAAAAGGTGCTGAAAGATGCCAGAAAAAAACAAGATGGCCGCCGTAATCACTTAACGCTTGTGAATAAAGAAATGGTCTTTGTATTATGATATACGTTGATAAGGAAAAAATATAAGTGTTTCTTCCATCTGCGATCAAACCTGCACTAGCTTCGTGAACCTGTGCTTGTCACTGGGTGGGCTGCCCTTGTCGCCTGGATACTCCCAGTCAATGTCAAGGCCGTCAAAACCACGCTGCCTCAGGAACGTGATAGAGTTGTTGGCGAAAGTTTCGATGTTGCTGTCGTTTGCGACAAGAATGCTGAAGAGCTTTGACCCCATCCCATATCCGCCCAGTGAGAGAAGCGTCTTCAAGGTGGGATTTTTAGACTTTAAGGCATTGAAGCGGTGATATCTGATTCGATAAATAAACTTGTGAATAGTCAGTCGAGCGAGCACAATCGGGATGATTTTAGCTATCCAGTTCGTTGATATGATATGACAACAAGCGGGTGTTCAAACGATCAGCACAATAATGTATCCGAACTATCACACTCTAGGTTTAACAACTACTTCTGCAAAAATAAAGGGCGACCAAATATTAATTTAATATTAAACAGATGGAAATTCCTTCCAGCTTGCTTGACGTAGCATACCTTTAGGAAGCCTTAAATATTGAATCTAAGTCTGGGACAATTTGATGAACGGCAAACTGCATAATCACCAAGCCATTGACTTTCACTCACAACGGATGTGGACGGTACGGAAGTCCATTTTACCCGTTTCGCGAACACCCGGTGTCATTCAACGTTTGCATTGATTCGTAAGTGTGTATCTCTCCAAACCTGACACTCCCGCTGTTTGATTACGTGACGCAGATACGAATATGATATTCCTAAGGCTTTGAGTGAGTGAGTGTGTGAGTGATTATGGTTTTATGCCGCTTTTTGCAATATTCCACCAACATCACGCTTGGGGACACCAGAATGGGCTGCACACATTGTTCCCATGTGAGTAATCGAACACTTTGAACACTAGGCCACCCCACACTCCTCCTGAGGCATTGACGTGTTGCTGTAATGAACCTACATTCCTGGGTCATCCCGCTTGTCCCTTCCCCTCAGCTGGGTCCCACTGTCGTCTAGTGTAGCAAAGGCGAAGCTAAGATGGGTGCACAGGTCTGGGTCGATGTCCTCCGGGTTGAACGTCGCAGGGTTGTGACGGTAACGTGCCCAGCCGCTCACATAGCAGAACCTTTTATGGTCGGGCTCTGTGCAAAATACGTCAGTACAACAGCCAATATATACAATAGGTGATCCCGGCAATGCCAAGCGTCAGGCAGAGAAACAACAAGTACCATCTTTTAACGTCTTTTGGTATGACGCGGCCGGGGATCGAACCACCTACCTTCCGCTCACCGGGAAGACGCCCTATCCACTGAAGCAAGGAGGCGGTGATTTACCGAAGGGTTAGGATACGAATTATTTGTCATCATATGATGAATCATCAATTATTTTTTTTATATATACTTACGCTCAGTTGAAATGACAATCACTTGAAGGAGAAGAAGGCAAAGTAATCGTATCATCTCTGGGCGTCGTCTACTGCAACAAGAAATATATGCAGTCGTGTGAGATGTTTCCTTGGGTCGACTATATCGTGACCTTAACCTTCACTCACGACGGGTGCTGTCGGCAGGGTCACCCTTTTCGTGAACACCTAGTATCATCACCGTAAGGTTGCAATGATTCAGGTTTTTGAATATTAACTACTCATTTGAAACCTACACGCATTCAGATGCGAATATCCCCCAAGCCTTGACGTTACCTGGGAAGAGATGTGATAAGAATCGATCAAGCTCTTGTGTATGATAACTTAATATCCATTGTTTGACTAACTTCAGTCATAATCCTTGCTTCTCAGATAGGTCCTGCATGTATGTTCGAATACTGGATGTTGCATGATCACAGTCTTCGTTCTCAGCTCCACATGCATTGTAACTGCATACATTACACGTGCATACTTTGTTAGAATTATGTATGATCTGTTGATATACACATATAAGTGTGGTTCAATGGCACAGTCATGAATTGTAATGACATTTATAGAGAAACCTTCAAACGCTATAAACATTTAGTTCATACAGGTGCGAGCACTGTTTCAGCCTGAACATATTCAGAACAAACTTCATTACTTGTTGGTGTGGGCTGTCAGCCGTTGGAATGGTCCTGGAACCCGGCAGGTGACAAACATGTCTGTGATACAACATGGAATATTATCTCGAACGCTCGGCCATTGCTGCTGATAACAGAATACAACAAAAATTAACTCCATAAACAAAATTGAGTGAGTGAGTATGATTTTAAGCCGCTTTTAGCAATAGTCCAGCAATATCACAGCGGGGGACACCAGAAATGGGCCTCACACATTGTACCCATGGTCATCAAGAGAGTTAAACATATCGTTGAGAACAAAACAGAAAGTGCTCTTCCTAGTTTTATTGATAAAAGAGCTTCAATCTTATCAGTGTTAGGTGTGTGATTAAACACGCCTATATATATGTATTCGCTAAGAATCTGTATAGTTCCCACTAAACGAACCACGTTTCCTCTTTTGAAACAGAGCCATCTTTTTAAACAACGATTTTATTTCATCGAAATCACTGTCTACACTTAGGATAGTAATCCAACTGATGTGGCAGATATGAGATAATAAAACGAATGGGAGCATGTGATGCTATCTGAATGGTGGGAAAACGATGTTAAATAGGATTGGATCCCGGAAATAGTGTTGTTTTTTTACTGCGCATGAATTCTTTTCGTGATAAGTATTTTTCTTCCTCACTCTCAAAGTTACAAACAACATGTCATTCGGCTTGGCGATATGAACACCGCATTCTATATATGTTAATGCTATTTGATACCGACGGCGTTAATCTGAGGTTTCAAATCTTAAAGTCCCCAGGCATTCATGGTGTTTATATCTTATATGGTTTATCTCCCAAATAACATCATCACCCTTGGAGGGGTCGTCCAGGGTCATTTGCCTGCAGCTGTGTCCTGTTGCCAAGGGTGGAGAAGAAAAAGGCAAGATGAGGACACAGATTAAGATTGAGGTCGTCTGAGTTTGCAGGGTAGGTTCGACAGCGAATAGTAGAACCTCTTTTAGTTGGTAGCTTCTCAACACAGATTTTACCACTAAGGTTCATCTCAAACACCACATACGAAAAAGTTGTTTAATGTTTTATTACTGAATAACTAACAACTAACAACAGTACAGATGTGCAACGTATGTTATCAAAACATAGTTCTGGACCAGCTAAACCAGTGCATGTTTGAAGGCCTGGGCATTTTTTCACGACGCCGGGGTAGGTGGCATACAATCATCAAGGTCACACGTTGAGACAACCTCATTGTCATCTTTTCAATCTGCATTTTTGACATTGGCTATTTGAGACTACTCTGCCCCTGGGACCATATTCTCAAACACCATCTTATGACACATGCATCTTAGTGGCTAATAATCACTACATCAACACATAATGGTTAAAGTAAACTGTCAGGTTTGCCTAGTGAGAAATATAATGTTACACTGTTCAAGCAAATGTCCCATCTTTTCGGCGTTCCACAGGTCGCGTCAAGTTCACGATCGTGATGGCGTTCGTTTCGTCAAGACACGATTGTTCACAGTCCCTTGTCATACGAGGGGGCTACTGCTGTGAGGTGTTAGGCAACAAGCAAACATTTTTTTAGTTCAGTTTGTATGAGTGGCGAATGATACCAATGGAGCAGGACAGGCTTACCCTTTTCACCTGGTGTCATCGCTGATTTTCAGTGATCCAGTCATATATATTTTCACCGCTAATTTGCCTTTTACACCCAATGGAATCTGCTGCAGCAGATAATCTGGATTGATTATTATCTGGAGTTAATGTGTTATATTTGCGCACAGGTCAAAACAAACGACCTACAATCGCGATGGTGACGCGATATTTTCGCGATGCCGTCGCGTTTGTGAATACGTTTGTTTTTAACAGCATTGTAGGTAGTCAATGAAAACATGAGGATATGTAGCTTACAAAGCTGTTGTGGTGATGTCCACAGACCTGTAGGAACAGCAGACATCTGAGGGCTATGTTCCGAAAAAAATCAACGTCCCAGGCACAATACCCTGGCTCGTTTCACCAACATGGCAAATGTCAAAGGCCTGTGTCAATTGTTCCGAAAAAAATCAACGTCCCAGGCACAATACCCTGGCTCGTTTCACCAACATGGCAAATGTCAAAGGCCTGTGTCAATTTAAGGTTTGCTCCTACATCAGTATTTACATCTCACCCTCAAATACTGTGCAAAGCGGAATTAAATCAAGCCCACTCTCCTACACGATGAACACTTTTTGCTCCATTCGCCATACAATGACGAGTTAGATAGTGTGCTGGAACATATCGACTAATCTGTGTACATTCAGACTCGATAGCTCCACGTATCTAAGGGAATCTTCAAAGTCAAAATATCAAAGTTATGACAAAGGTGGCAATTTAGGCATGCCAAAGACAGTTGAGCTTTTCAATTAAGATAGCATGGAGTTGGATTTAATAAATTAATGTTTATAAAAAGGTTTGCTTGTATCCAAGCGCAGAAACATATCCGCGAAGATAACAGTCAAGAACAATATTTGCTTTAAACGTTTATTCTCCCAAGAACTGATCTGCCAGAAGAAACTTTCTAAAAGACGGGTGTACAAAGGTGAAACTCCATAGCTCTGACATAAACCCATCAGGAAAATATTTCTAAAGACGGGTGTACATTGACATAGCTCTGACACTGACTAGCTGCATCCGCCATCAGGGTGTGGGAAGTCACAGACATGTATGGCACTGTGGAACACTGTACCATAGGGACACGGCTCTCTGATGGTCTGCCCGAATGTACAGGTGTAATAGTATTGACAGGAGGAGGCGTCGGGGTAAAGTCCATCTGTCTTGTCAGCACAGAAGTTGGACACAAAGTCTGCAGTGGAAAAAGTTGATGATGTACGCCTTGTCAAAACAGAAAATGAACACAAAATCTAGAAGAGAAAATGTAAACGGTGTTCTTCTTGTGAGCGCAGAATGTTGACACAAAGTTTGTAAGAGGGTAGAAGGGTGACGGCTGACAGTACGGTCAGCGCCGAAGGTAGACACAAAGTCGACAATGGGAAATAGAAAGGGTACACATCTTGTCATAACAGAAGGAAGATTTTAATTTCTGACTTCCGAAATGAAATATGAAAAGCCCCGGTCCATTAAAAGTGGACACGGGAAGGACATATTAGCTCTATTTCAAAGATTACCATATCATGTGAACAGACGAGAGCTGAAAGTCTTACCACTTCAATGAAACCATAGTACGGTACTGACAAACCAAACAATATTTCGAGGTTTTATTGGATTCGAACACATGTCATCGAGTGTTAACATTCGCTCGACTATATGGTTGAGTTACTGCCGATGTGACGTTAACTAACTCGCTCACTCATCCCCTAGGTGAGTGGATGGCCAGTTCAAGTAAGATGTTCAATACCGCTGTGATATAACGGACATATTGTTGAAAGTTAAACCCAAACTCACTCATCACCTCAACCTACTTCCAGATGAGCCTCCATTGATGTTCTGAGTGGGAGCCACAGCATTGCCGTGGGGAATCGTTGCAGCGATGTCTGTCAGTTGTCTGGAACATCAGTCAACACATACACAGATTGTCTCAAGCATGCTGACACAGCCACGACTCTGTCAATCTAGGTGGATATAGGTGGTGTTGGAATACATGAGATGTCCGACCAATGCATGAACAGTGAAGCCCATTTAGTCTGGGCACTGCGTCTTAGGTTTAGATTACAATAGGGAACAGCTTCATGTATGTTGGGTGACACCTAGCAATGATTCGGTAACCGTGATGTGGGACGGGATACGCTCACCTTTTCGCGAACACTGGTATCATCACTAACTGATAGTGATTCTAAAACACATGCTCCTGATATAGTCGGAATCGTACAATGGACTCTACTTTTAGCAGATATTTCTTATGATTATGAAAAGGGTTTTCTATTTTGTATGTAGTAAATGAGGACGATTTCTCTGGCACCGAGTATTACAGTACAGTCAAGTCCCGTTAATGCGACATTGTTGGTTGCATATGATTATGTCGGATTAACGAGTATGTCGGATAAACGAAATTAGGTAGTATAAACATTCGTGATCGAAAATTGGACAACTACACGATAGATAACGATACGAACACGTAGGAAAAGGTTGGTTGGTTGGTTTGTTGTTTAACGCCGCACTCAGCAATATTCCAGCTATATGACGGCGGTCTGTAAATAACAGGATCTGGACCAGACAATCCAGTGATTAATATCATGAGCATCGATCCACGCAATTGGGATCGATGACATGCATCAACCAAGTCAGCGAGCCTGACCACCCGATCCCGTTAGTCGCCTCTTACGACAAGCATAGTCGCCTTTTACGGCAAGCATGGGTTGCTGAAGACCTATTCTACCCCGGATCTTCACGGGTCCGTAGGAAAAGGAAAAATGAAATATTCATATTGTTGTGTTACATTGTCAGCGGAATATGTTTTCTAATCATGCAACCAATGTACGTAACAACAAACTAATTCAACAAGTCGGTTCTTGGCATAGAACATCTGTTGCTTTAGTTCTTTTAATTCCGCGAAAGGTTCCTATGCTCAGAAAGATATTTCACTCAGAAAGTGAGTCCTACTTAACTAGGGTATTTGTTTTAACATAAATGTTATATGTGTTACTTTTGCACACGTGGAATCTATAAACCTGAAAATTAGTTCTACCCTTTCAACTGCCAGAGTTATATAGATTTTCAATGAGAATTTACCGTTTGCCCACAATAGTACTGAAAGCATCTTTGATAGCGTGGATGAGGGGAAACTTCTTGCCACAGATTCCTCCAAAGTCGTCCAGGTCCAGGGCCCAGACCATGATACCCCCGTAGCCGTGGTCAATGACGTATTTCACCTTAAGACGACGACAATACAATGTCTTTGTTTGGTATGGTATTGAAAAGAACTTGTCACAATGAAAATGAGGAAGTGAGGTATATTTGACACTTTAGAAAAAATATACGTCTTCTAATGAAAAAGGTCACACCCTAAAACAGCCAAGTCACGGGGACTGGAGTTGGTAGTGAGAACTCTTTGGCCCTTGAATATGTTAGTGACTGGGGGCAGGCAGAATCAAAATGGAAGTGTTAAGATATATGGAAAGGACAGATATATGTAAAGAGGTGAATAAACTGGTTAACGGTACTACCATATTCCCATCAACGCCTTACCTTTTCTTGTAGACTCTTTTCATCATCATAACCAACCCATCTCTCATTGTCCACCAGGTAGGGCACAGATTGGTTGGCGCTCATCTTTGATGTAGTATTGCCCAGAAGCTGGCACACCTAAAACATTGGGACATATTTAGTGGGATGCTGTTGGAGATACTACAGATAGCTTTAATCCGTTTGTAGGTGCCCTCCCGCTGCACTTGTGAAGGTTTAAGGCGGGGATAAATCATGCCCATGTGTGTACGATAATACTTACTACTCAAAAGAAGTTAAAGAGAACCCGATCAATTCATATTACTAAAGTTAATCTGTCATAAGAGTGAGTGAGTGAGTATGTTTTTACGCCGCTTTTAGCAATATTCCAGCAATATCACGGCGGGGTACACCAGTTAGTCATAAGAACACCCGATTCTTTCATTTCACTATAGTTAATATACCATGCTATAACAGATTAACTATAGATATATGAAAGAACTGGGCGTGCTTTGACTTCTTTTGAATAGTATATTTCATTACTTCAGTTGTTCTGGGGGAAATCTTGTGTTCCATTTTCAGATTTAAATTAAATCGTAATTATATTTTAAAGGAATGGGGACAAAATAATATGATTGGACCGAAAGTGAAGAAAAACATTTTTATTGTGTAATTATGAAGACGGTCAATCACTTCTACCACATGGTGAAGATCCGGGTTAGAATTGGTTAGAAACAACCCCTGCTTGTGGTAAGAGGCGACAGGAGGTCAGGCTCGCTGACTTGGTTCATGCATGTCATCGTGTACCAATTGCGTAGGTCGATGCTCATGGTGTCAATCACTAGATTGTCTGATATCCAGAGTCGATTATTTACAGAACCCCGTCGTTTAGCTGGAATATTGCTGAGTGTGGCGTCAAACAACAAACAAAATACGATATGGCATATATATATAAATGAATCATGATCATTTACCTCATAGTAAGCCAGAGTTCCTTCTTCATGAGTTAATTTTCCAGCAGCCCCCGGACCATATGCAGGTGCCCCCACCCCATTCACACTGGTGTCATTCAGAGAGAAGGTTTTTCCATAGAACGGCACACCGATTAGAAGCTTGTGTTTTGGTATCCCCAAACTGGCCCAGTAGCTAGCCATAGCGTCCTAGAAATACACAGACTTTGAGATAGAGATGTTTTGTTTTATACACATGATCGTTGACTGAGTGAGTGAGGGTGTTTGCTTTACGCCGCTTTGAAAGTATTTCAGTTGTATTATGGTATGTAAGCTCCATGTGAGAGGAACTCCCGAAGTGAGGCAGATCTTCCCAGTTGAGTAAAACGGGCATGGCGCTGACAACCCTAGATACATAAACGGGGTATCGCGGGTTCGAACCCATGGTTATAGGTTTCTGACACGGTTCAGGGGCGCAAATGTGTACAGTCAGTTGCTGCACTTCAGACGTCTTGACCACCAATAACCCAACATAATCTAACAAGAAAACTAACACATTCTGAACAACGCTGGTCACTGAAAGCGTAGAAGCCACAGTGTCTGCACTCATTATTACCTGTACTCACAACATTGTCATGAGGCAATCGTAAATATTTAAACCAATGCATACATTATAAAGTTATATACTGTTTTCTTGATTCTTGTTTGTTTTGATACTTGAAACAGTCTTTTGGAAAAAGAATTCGTTGTTATAATGGGTCCATTTGTATGGCCAGTTGAGAGGAGGATACTATAAGAATATTCGCGGGACAGTGCAGAGGACAGGTAGCTGAGGTTACTGTATTCCTTATGTCTTTGTCCTTAAATATCTGGAACGGGCTTTGGAAAACAAGATGGAGAAACATAACCGGCAAAACAGAAATCCTTATTCAAAGTTTTAATTTTGATGAAGAGAAGTATAGCTTCTTGGAGGTAAGTGTCTTCTCACAACATTCACGTTTGGATCAGTAATGGTGGCGGGTATTTGTCTGCTCACAACATTCAAGTTGGGACCGGCAATGGAGCTTTATATTCTGTCTACTTATAACATTCAAGTTGGGACCGGCAATGGTGCTGGATATTCTGTTAACTCACAACATTCAAGTTGGGATCAGTAGTCGTGCCGTACAGCGCAGCATGGTGACCGACTAACATAGGCTTGTCCCACTCTCCGTGCATGTCGTACGTCATCAGGTTGATCAGGTCCAGTGATCTACAGGAGAACAGAGGAGAATGTTAGCAGGAGAATATTGGTTCAGCCTCCTTCCACAACTTACGGAACATCTTCTAGGCAGAAGAGCGAACATACCCGTAAAAACCTCTGTGACTCACAGTAATCTTTGCTTGGATTTATGTATGGTACAGCAAATACGGTGTATATTTCAATGAAATTTGCAATTAATTTCTGGCTATATACACAAAAGACATAGTTGCCTTAAGTTCTCACTTAAAAGTTGCCATTCGATACGAGTAAGGCTCACGGAGATTTCATGCATGTTCAGGGGTCAAACTGTCTCCTGCTTGGAGACGCTTTCCCAGTTGGACGTGGTCTCCTGATATGGAGGTTACCCTAACGTGTGTCCTAAGATGGGAGTATCCTGTCCTGTGGCCTGATATTGGGGCCCATTATTGACAGGCCGGCGTGACACAGATAGTTTCCGACTGCGTCATAAAACAGCATTGGCTCACTCACTTTGCAAGTAGGACCGCTTCATACGACTCCTGCACGTGGTAGGGGGACGGAGCCAGGGCTGCCGTGAGGAGAAGATGAGGCTTGCCGGAATCACGGGCCTCGGTCTTGAACGCCAGATGCAGAGTCTGAAATCAAGGCAGAATGATAAATGAAAGTCACGTGTCACCTGTTTATATCCCACAGGTCCGTTCGTTTCTTTTCTCTTCTTTTATTTTTGAAAAAAACGTCGACTTTTTCTTCATGCATCTACATCACTCAATGGTTGAACTGGTGGCTTTTGTAAAAGTATATTTAATTAATTAAATGTTTTGGAAACAAGTTTTGGTTTGGTTGGTTTCGGAACAGCGTTTTGGTGTTGAGGACCTAACTTCATTTGGCATTGTACTGGAAAAAAGATGATCGGAGGATATGTCATCTGTCGATGACTCTGTTAGAGATGGTTATATTTGATTTGATCTGACCAAATTCCTATTAAAATCTAACAAAACTGTTTCAGGAGTTGCTCGCCCTCCAAGATCGAATCGACGCTGACTTGGTTCATGCGTGTCATCGTATCCCAATTGCGTGGGTCAAAACTCATGATGTCAATCACAGGATTGTCTGGTCCAGACTTAATTAGTTACAGACCGCCGTCATAAAGCTGGAATATTGCTGGGTGTCGAGTTAAAAACAAACAAATACTACAAACAACAGGCACTGGGTTTTCGGGAAAGGTTTTGGGTTCCCCACATGGTAAAAAAATGTACATGATAAAGAGAAGAACGAGATAAACAACAGAAAGATGATAAACAACAGAACAATAATAAAGACAAAAAAGACACCAGGTCTAATTCCCTGGCCTTTGTCCTTTTACCTATTCAGTCATAAAACTGCCAAATCAGAAAGAGTGTTAAATTTAGAACCTGTACGAGTTTCGTGAACCTCTGCTTGTCCCTCGGGCCGCTTCCTCTGGCTGCCGGATATTCCCAGTCAATGTCAAGGCCGTCAAACCCATGGTCTCGCAAGAACTTGACAGTACTAGTGCTGAAGGCCTCGATGTTGCTGTCGTTGGCAACGAGCACACTAAACAGCTTGGACCCCATTGTCCATCCTCCTACAGACAACAAGGTCTTCAGGTGGGGACTGCCGGATTTGAGGGCGTTGAAACGTTTGTACCTGCAACGATGCCAATTAAGAACCATGCTTTCTTGATGAAAAGGTATCTTGTTTTCTTGGTTATAAGATTGACATGTATGAACATATACCTGTGACAGACATGTCTGTTTCAGGTAACGTTTTATTGTGAAAGGGTATATGATTATATATATATTTATTTAAGTATACTCTTTAAAAACAACGCAATTCGGATATTTTTTACCATATAAGCAAAATAAGCGGTCTAAGAAGTGCAAAATGAAGAGGTTTAATGTGTTATAGTGTCAGTGACAAATTTCCCGTATCAAAATGATCACAACAAAGACATACAAACAATTTGTCGGGAAACACGTACGATTCGGAAAAAACGCACCCAGTGCATTAACAAAAGGGTCATGGAGCTTCACGCACTGCACGTACAGCAGCAATATGAAAGGTATTTAAGCGAAGAGTTTTTAATTGCCTGGCATCTGCGTCAATCGAACAGTGACAGTTCAACAGCATGCAAAGATAACAGAAGTGCAAAGAAACAACGTCACAGGCCGCTTTCAGGCAAGGGAATCCCGATCAGCTGCAGCCATGGTTTTCAATGTAGCGCCCAGCAGCATCACAAGGCTATAGGGTCGGTTTCAACAGCATGGGTCAACACGTGATCGGCCAAGGTCGGGACGACCAAGAGTAACCATTCTCGTCCAAGATCGCTACATCCGACTGCGCCACCTACGTGGAAGGACGACCACAGCCACCTCAACCGCATCCCAAATACCCGGACTACGCAGAATCTCCGACAAGACCGAACGAAACCGTTTAAGAGCAGCAGGTCTACGAGCAAGACGTCCTGTTCGACGCGTCAACAACGACTGCATTGGTGTCAACACAGGGTATGGCCTCAACTGCGATGGAGAGATGTCTGGTTCAGCGACGAATCAAGATTTCTCCTCCGTCGAGGAAACTGTGTACAGGAATTGGACATGTTTGGTGGGGGTAGCGTTATGATGTGGGTGGCTATATCTCATCATGGCAGGACAGGTTTGGTCCATATCCAGGGCAATCTTACGGCTCAACGATACATCAACGAAATTATCCTACCACACGTCCCAATTGCAGCCAACGGCAACGGTGTATTCCAACAGGACAACGCTCGACCGCATACAGCAGGGATCACAAGAGCCTGTCTACACAACAACAACGTTGATGTTCTCTCCTGGCCCTTCAGATCCCCGGATTTGAACAAGATAGAGCATCTGTGGGATGAATTGGATAGACGGCTACGCCGATGTCAACCACAACCCCAGACGTTGCAGCAGTTGGCTTTTGCGTTGCAGGCCGAGTGGGCTACCATTCCCCAGAATGTGATTCGCATACTCGTCTCTATGTCTCTACTCATATGTACCGATAACTGAGATGATTTAGTCTACAATAAACGAGTGTATTCTCCACAACATTGTGGCTCAATACTTTGTACGGTTCCTCGTATAAATGTATTTTCCTACCTCACATAAATCTGGCTTTGCGTTTCTTTTTTTTGAAGGGTATATATAATATATTACTGTTCGTTTAGCCAAAATCTGGACAATGCGAATAATTAAAATGAGTGCGTGGGATTTTGACACAAGTACCGCTGATAAAACATGGAGTCTTCTGAGCAATCAGAGCGTCGCTTACGAGATCGCGAAACTGAAACTCCGAATCATACAACCTCGAAAAGATAAACACGAGGCATTCTGAACGACAATTACGCACTGTACGACTGATTCCGTCAAAATCAACGTCAATCTCTTTAGATTTTCATGTCACGTGGGAAGTACTACCATAAAATCTCGGCCATCTGTTAGACATTCCAGATTTTGGGGGGTTCAAATTTCAAATTTGGAATCGATATTTTTCAAAGTGTAGTCTGGAAACTGGTAACCTGTGCGGTAAAGCTCGAGAAAGCTGCTTCTGATTGAGAAAAGATCGTTCTCACTTTGCCTGGTGCTGACAAACCAAGAATTATTATTCGAACCCATTGGATTGTGGCACGTCTAAGAACACCATCTTCCCGAGGCAAGAGAGTTAACTGACTATAAAAGACCAGTTTCCACCCTTGTCGAACTAGGCTGGTATTATGGTGTTAGATTTTGGCTGGACTAACGTGTCTATGCATAGTCCAATCAAAATCGCGCAATGAAATCGAAATCCGGTTCGTAAACTGCCATGCAGATTTCCGTCGATTGCAGGATTTGCAAAGCATGTGCACCGCCAACTCGTTGTCAACAGATATTTTCCAAACCTTTTCATGTTTTTAATCAAGGTGCTCACGTGATTTGATGAACTTCGCGATATAAGACCCGTTTTATCACAATATAGACCTTGATTATCGATCAGATCGTCTTGACTGGGCGCCGCCATTTTGTTTGAAGCAAATGCAAGTGATACGAGAGGTGGAATCTGATTGGTCAATAGGAGAGGCATAGAAGGGACATAACTCGTAATAGCCACTGGTGGCGCTATGATCGAGCCCAGGAATACCAGCCTAGTTCGGCAAGGGTGGAAAATGGACTTTTAGAGACAGTTAACTCTCTTGCCTCGGGAAGATGAAGAACACTGGCTATTCGGGCTATTACGGAGGGTGACACGTACATGCCTGGGTCATCCCCACTGTCAGCAGCCTTCAGCTGGGTGCCCGAGTCGTCCAGGGTGGCGAAGGCAAAGCTGAGATGGGTGCACAGGTGAGGTGCGATGTCCTCGGGGTTGAACGTCACGGGGCTAGCGCGGTACCGCGCCCAGCCGCTCACGTAGCAAAACCTCTTGTAGTCTGTTCAAGAAAATGGAGTCGGTTCAATAAACGAACATTGTAGTGTTGTTACATTCTAACGTGAACAGGAATTAACATATTTAGGCTTTTATTAGGTGTGCAGTGTATTCGGTTAGTAGTATAGTTTCTTTCTGGAGTGATATAAGCCATAGACCCAGGTTATACATCGAGAAGTACAGAGGGAGAAAGTTTATAATAATTAAGACTGTCTTACTTACATGTCTTCATATATATAACTGATAAATGAATCAAGGATAGATCCGTTTGATGATAACATAAGCGTAATAGGGACCGTCGATATTCAGTTCTTTCTTTAATCGTATATTCGTTCCAGAACAAAGGGAGAAATATTAATTTGACCTCTGGTTTTACCCCCCAAAATGAATTGTTTGTTAGACGTGTGATCGATGTCTTGAAGATAACGCGCATTGAGAAACAATTAACGGTTCCGTTACTTCTTTCACGGCACCAGTTATAGACACCAGTAACAGATTCAAGTTATATCACGGCGTGTCAGTTTGATGTTGGAGAAAAGCCCGAACTAATGCAGGTCTCAGACGTAAACCTCTTTCGTGAACCCCCCGAGCACGGGTATGGTGCTGACAAACCTAGAAACATAATCAGGGTTAATCTGGGATTCGAACCTACGAATAGGTTTCTGGAGATATGTGACCAGCTGGAAAGACCAGGCCGTATCTGAGACCTGTCTGTCAGGGAATCCTTCAAGAAGCTGGATGTTTCAAATGTTTATTTTACCATTTAGGTGGCTACTTTGGTGGAACCCACGAGCACGCCGTGATGCCGACAAAATAGGGACAATGTAGGGGAATCTGGGATTTGAGGTCTTTGTTTGGAGGACGAGGCGAGGCTGCTGTGTGTTGGATAACTATGTGATCGTGTGTTGTCTATAAGCCGGACTTGCCATACCAGTATTATGAAGGAGTATAATGTTGAGTCGACAGTGGACTCAAACACAGATGCACAACACTTACTGCCGTGTTGGGCGGAAGCCATGAAGGTTTGGAACACCACGAGAAACAGCACCAGAATCATCTTCCCGAAGTCGTCAGCTGCAACATAACCGCGATTATCACCTGACATGGACCCGTGAAGATCCGGGGTAGAATAGGTCTTCTGCAACCCATGCTTGCCGTAAAAGGCGACTATGCTTGTCGTAAAAGGCGACTAACGGGATCGGGTGGTCAGGTTCGCTGACTTGGTTGATGCATGTCATCGATCCAAATTGCGTGGATCGATGCTCATGATATTAATCACTGGATTGTCTGGTCCAGACTCGATTATTTACAGACCGCCGTCATATAGCTGGAATATTGCTGAGTGCGGCGTAAAACAACAAACCAACAACAACAACAAACACCATGTCATGACGTAGTTGTCGACCAGGGTCCACTTGCACAAAGCGATCTTAGCGCTACCACGATCTTAACGCCCATACTGTTAGGCGAGATACCATGCCACAGTTTAACAGGGATACCCCACTCAGACACAGTATAATGTGTCTGAGTGGGATATCCATATTTAATGACTGATCCGAACCGACCAGACCTTGTTTTAACTCCATAATGCCCAACAACTGTAATTTCTGCCTATCACTTTTCGTCTTCTTTATACAAACGTTGTTGTGAATTGTGTGTTTTCTTTCTCCAATAGAGACGCGCGACTGCTTGAAAGGGAATATTATTACTTTTATTTAAACTTAAATTATGTTTTCAGTTATTTCTACTTTTGCGTAGACGCCAAATCTGTTTGCAACCATTTTCAACCAGGCAATACAAATTGAGATTCGCCAGGTACGATTTAATTAATTCATCGATATTAGACAGGTCAGCATTTCGGATATCCCAACACATGTACAATTAAATATCTGCCATTTTCTGATTAAAATCTCCAGAAGGAATAAAAAGTAAGACTTACAGAGTGGTGTGTGGGTGACAAATAACATGGGAATTGTACCACACTGCGCAGCTGGTTTATGGTCAGATAAAACTGGACTAGTTTTCTATCCGACCCGACACAGGTGTAGATACTTGAAGTAAGATAACATTTTTTTAAAATATCTTATGTGTAAACCAATCAATTAGTAATCGACTCCAATATTGGTTGCGTTTTAAGTGGTATAAACGTAATTCCGATGTGCACACTGTGCATAATTGTCACAGATTATCAAATTTTGAAATGTCCTTCATATGTCTATCATAATACGTTTTGAAAGAATTGCAAAGGCCTTGACTGATGTAACCCTGATCAAGAACGTTTTTAGCAAAGGTATGACGCTCTGTGACATTTACGTCGAAAGGGCATGCTCGATTCTTAATCAAAAGTTGTGAATGTAGACACATAACCTGGAGCTGCTGGAGTATAATTGCTCGACATAAAGGGAAAGTTGAAGTCATCCACCTTGTCCTTCAATCTTGTGGATGCTTTATTGTCACAGTGCATCTTTATGCACTGAATCCAATATGAAACAGATCCGACGCTTTCACTGATACCTTTGTTCTTAGCTCACGTGGGTAAATCAGTGAAAGGAAATTGTTTATTTGACCATTATTGAACGATATCAGATCATCGATATGCCTGATTATTATTTTTGGTTTATCACGGCCATACCCGTGTTCGTGGATAACTTACAATCGTTTTCGACTTACATCTCTATCTGATAAAAACAACCCGTTGTAAGTATCATTTAACGTCGTGTTTAAGCAATATCCCTACAATATCACGACGGGGGACACGAGAACATATTCTGTAGCCATGTTCGTCTCTTATTGCAGCCATTTTGGGGATCGAACCCGCGCCTTCAGCGTGACTGTCGACCGCTTTTACCACTAAGCTATGGAACTGTTATTGGATTGTTAGGGAAGTGTATATGCTACGATGCACAAAGATCACATAAAACATACATACAATAAACCTACATGCTTTTAGATGTGTGTTATGTTTATTAAGAAAATGTGAAGTATTAATGTTAAATGAAGGTACACGTTGGAACACTGTCTCAAATAATACCATTGTTACCACTATTGTATGAACTGCACTTACAGGCATTTCATTTTTATTTTGGGGCGATAGGGTAGCCTAGTGGTTAAAGCGTTCGCTAGTCATGCTGAAGACCCGGGTTCGATTCCCGACATGGGCACAATGGGTGAAGCCCGTTTCTAGTAACCCCCCGCCGCGATATTGCTGGAATATTGCTAAAAGCGGTGTTAAACCATACTAATTCACCCACTTTGAGAAATTCTAATTTGCTGCTTTCAATTATATTTTAAGTTTTATGTGTGTAGGTCAAGATTAACAAATGGAAAGTGTAATTTGATCTTATTAAGAAACTTAAAGAATATATTATCAATATTATTGAGAAAGCAAATTAAAGAACATTGTTCACTGTTATAGAACATTATTATAAATCTGTTTCTTGAACAATAAATAAATGAAAGAAAATTAACATCTCTATCAGAGGAATGAATGCCCTGAAACTTAAGACGTGGGTTTGTGAGGGCAAAACTGTATAGACCGCGGCATATTATGTAATATAGCGGGCAAGATATGATTATTATGCACGGATTGCAATCTTCAAACAAACACAAGCTTCATATACTTTATCCATATCTTACAGTATAATGAAAACATCGTGTAAAATATGATATGGTGTTAACTTGTAGAGAAATAATCACCGTCCCGTGGAGAAATCAATCTCATTAACATCTGATCTTAGTTCTCGCTACCGCTAAACAAAGATCTGAGGACATCCCATTGCGGGTCATGGCAGAACGACCTTTCATCTGACCAATCAGAGCATCGCTTATCAGATCATGAAAGTGACGGTTGGAATGTGATTTTTGATCGTGTAGCCTCGAAAAAAAACAACACACACACCGGGTATTCCGAACAACAGTTATGGGCTTTATTTTTGTATTCATACAATCTTGACGATCCATTAGCCATTCCAGAAAGTTCTTAATTCAGTTTTTAATTTTTTAATCGAGTGTATGTCAAAATATGTTTCGAAGCGAAGTCGCCAGTTTGAAACTCGTGCCGTAAAGCTCGATTAAGCTGCCTTCTGATTGGCTTTTGTCGACTTCTTGTAATGTCATTCCACTGGTCGGTCAAAGTTCGCGAATAACTGACGTGACCCGCAATGGGATGTCTTCAGATCTTTGTTTAGCGGTAGCGAGAACAAAGATCAGAGTTTAATGAGATTTGTTCAGAAATGGTCCTCAGCAACGCAGTGCTCGTCGTACGTGCCATTATAAAATAAATATATTGTGACTTCAAAGTTTTAATCTAACGTGATATGTGTTTATGCCAAAATGATTTTGGGTAAATCGGTAATTATGATATTCACTGTGCCACAATGATATTCTGAAAGATTGATCAGATTTGTAACAAGGCATCAGACGCTTCGGATATTTCCAGTATATGTCTGTGACATGTATGCTTGTGTGACAGAATGTCGTCAGATGATGCCAATAGACGTACATAAACAACGAACAATGAATCAAGATAGAAGTAAACACGAGACGTTTATATAAACGTCGTTGAAAGATTACCCCGTCAGCGCGGTGTTGTGAAGGCTTGAAAGCCTTGCCGCTCCATCAATGCAGTTAACGGTCTAAGGGAGATAATCGTGTTATGCACGCACTGGGAAGCTTAGAAATTACTGGTTATCTTTCTTGCTGCAAGGTTGAATGACGTCATAACATAGTTCGGACATGCGCACAACACACGAAGTAAACTGGTAACACTATTGGGACGCGCCGCAAATTTAGCGCTTTTCAGCCAGACAGGAGCACAGTTAAATTACCAGGCTGAGTTACTTCCCTTTGACCACAAACTTTACCCCATGGAATAAAAATCGATTGAATTGTCTCCCTTTGACCATGACAAAACCTTTGTAACGTCGCAGATTTGTTGGCCCAATTCAGGTCCCTTTGTCAGTCTATTTTAATAAATCTAAAAAAGATACTTAACAAACTATCTAGATCTAAACCTGTGTAGAAAGTGTTTCTCTTGTGCGTTAATAATATTCACAGTATAATACTCGGTTCCATTTTGCCCGAGACTGCATTTCAGAACATACATATTTAAAAAAAATTAAAGTGATCTTAAAACTGATTTCAACCTTTGTTTTACGTTTTATTACATACATGTACATGTAGGTCCATGGTAGGAACGCTTTTTTATTACAATATGACTTATGTCTAGTTTTCCTCTTGGATCATTTTTTGTTAGATCATGTGTTTAAATTTCGGTTTTAGGATTCAGCCTACTAGTCGACCAGACATATATTTAATTCGCCAAATATTTGGTCCAGATGGTCAAAGCCTTGAATAGGTATTCTGCAATAAGTAATCTCTCTGTTTTTAGTTTTTAGTTTTTAAGTAAAACTGATGCATAATACACAACTATAGAGAAATTATATATCAGTATGACATGGTTTTAGACATTAAGATGTTAATTCCGGAAGTAAAATCAACTCGACGCTTTTGGTCTGCTCCCTTGATAGACAGATTTGAGTGACTGAAGGACAATCCTTATATGTAGATATGTTCTACATTGAACTGAGTTTTTAGATGAAGACGAGACTGCACATTTGTGTGACACAGTGGTTAGTGTATGTGATATTACATTGTATGTGTTCTGAAAAAGATGTCATCATGTTTGATAAGCTGTTGTTACCAAGTGCAAGTTCAGTGTACCTTGTCAGTGCCAAACACATAGTAATGTTCCTATCTCGAACGTATTGGCAACCATTGTCACAAGTAGTTGATTTCGGACCTCCTCGCGGGGAGGATTCCGGGTTAGAATAGGTTCCCATGCAACTTAGGTTTGTACGAGGCGACAACCGGGTGGTCAGGATCGGTGACTTGATTGAATGCATGTCATCGTAACCCCACGGCGTGGGAAGTTTCTCATGATATCAATCACTGGTTTGTCTAATTCAGATTATTTAAAGGCCGTCGCAATAAAGTTGGATTGGCATATGCGGCGTAAAACAACAAACAATACCAAAATGATTACTGACGCAGCAATAGAACCGTTCTGGTCGCATTCCACAATTAAATATCAGCGCTAAAACCACTGATAAAAAAACAACTAATATGGCACTCGAAACCACTACCAGCTGATCCTGATACGTGAAAGGGACGTCACTCTTTGCAGTGTCCACTCTTCCACCCGTGAGTCATCAACACATGTTTATGGGTTATACGGTACATTGTCCCGAACGGCTGGTCCAGATGCGGCCTGCCCTAGAACATGGGCAATTATAGATAGCATGCTTTAATGAGATTTGTTCAGAAATGGTCCTCAGCGACGCAGCGCTCATCGTACGTGCCATTATAAAATAAATATATTGTGACTTCAAAGTTTTAATCTAATGTGATATGGGTTTATGCCAAAATGATTTTGGGTAAATCGGTAATTATGATATTCACTGTGCCACAATGATATTCTGAAAGATTGATCAGATTTGTAACAAGGCATCAGACGCTTCGGATATTTCCAGTATATGTCTGTGACATGTATGCTTGTGTGACAGAATGTCGTCAGATGATGCCAATAGACGTACATAAACAACGAACAACGAATCAAGATAGAAGTAAACACGAGACGTTTATATAAACGTCGTTGAAAGATTACCCCGTCAGCGCGGTGTTGTGAAGGCTTGAAAGCAGTGCCGCGCCATCAATGCAGTTAACGGTCTAAGGGAGATAATCGTGTTATGCACGCACTGGGAAGCTTAGAAATTACTGGTTATCTTTCTTGCTACAAGGTTGAATGACGTCATAACATAGTTGGGACATGCGCACAACACACGAAGTAAACTGGTTACACTGTTGGAACGCGCCGCAGATTGAGCGCTTTCAGCCAGACAGGAGCACAGTTAAATTACCAGGCTGAGTTACTTCCCTTTGACCACAAACTTTACCCCATGGAATAAAAATCGATTGAATTGTCTCCCTTT